GTGGTACGGCCACCATTTTGACTTTTTCGACCATCCTGCACACTTCACAGTCCAATAGTCCGCTTTCATTAAAAAAGAAAGAAAGTTCAGTACTCTGTTTTCATTAAAAAGAACATTTGTATGTAGGCTTCTAATCCTCTAGCATAGCGTTTCTCAGCCTTGGCCGCTTGAAGATGGGTGGACCAACTCCCAGAATTCCCCAGCCAGTTGAAGTCCACCCATCTTCAAGCGGCCAAGGTTGAGAAACGCTGTGCTAGCACATGGAAACATATATAAAGAATACGTCTAGTTTTCTTTACAAGGGTCACAAAGCAGTCATTAAATTCCTGCTATAAAGACACGGCGATTCAGGCAAGCCGAACGTTGAGGAGGAAATTCCACTGACCGAGTGGTAAATGGAAAAAACTCTTCCTAACCAAACGCGGCTTTTGCACAGTAATAAAACGCTTATTACTGGAGGTGTCTCTGCGTAACAGCCCATTCAGCCTTTCTGCGGGCCTCTCAGGTCCAAGACGCAAAGGTTGATGTGAGCTCCCTTAGCACTGCTGCTGTGCTGAACACGAAGCGTGGTGTCCTTGTGGACCTAGACGCACATCCAAACCTTGTAGGATGCAAAACATAGGCAGGAAGAGGGGATTTCCTGGGAAATGCAGGAAGGAAGGAAGGAAGGAATGCATATGTACAAGATGCGAGATGCTTGTTTAATGTCACCTGTTCTGGGTCCCAGAGAGTAGCTTGCAGGAAAGCGAGTTAATTCCATATATATTCCATGTTACGCAGCAAAATAAATGCACGTATGGATTTTAGAGCTTATGCCAACAGTTACTGCAAATTGGTTGGGAATTCTGGGAGTTGAAGTCCACCCATCTTCAAGTTGACAGGGTTGAGAAACACTGCCCTACACTGTTGTAATTCCTGTTTGGAAGCGTCTGCCAATAGTGAAAGCAGAACTTTGGAAGAAGGGGCCTACCAGCTGAGAAAGTCATCCATCACAGAAAGGTCTGCATGAGGAACATCAGAAACATCCTTCTGCACTCCCAGTGTTTCAATTTGCCAGCTACTCCAGAGTAGAACAGGGCTCTGAGTTAAGAAGAAGCCTGAATCCAGGGAGAATTGGAACAGTTATGGACAGCCTGGCTCCAGTTTGACGTACCGCTATTCGGCCGTTCTGCAAATAGCACACTAAAAACATTTTTTGGAGACGAAAAAAGGGCTGTTTGTTTATTTGTAAAATTTATAGGCATGACTCCAGGTAGCTTACAGAATAAAACAAGAGAAAACAAAAGAGTGCATAAGCTAACAAAAAATGTCTAGAGAAGTAACACCAACAAGAAAAAGAAAAGAAAGAGAAAGAGAAAAAGGGAGGGAAGGAAGGAAGGAAGAAAAAGAAAGAGAGAAAGAAAGAAAAAGAGGGAGGGAAGGAAGGAAGAAAAAGAAGAAAGAAAGAGAAAGAAAAAAAGGGAGGGAAGGAAGGAAGAAAAAGAAAGAAAGGGAGGGAAGGAAGGAAGGAAGAGAAAGAAAGAAAAAGAAAGAAAGAAAGAGAAAAAGAAAGAAAGAAAGAAAGAAAAACACTACTCAAGGGGTTTGTTACTGCTCTGACCCAAGGCCAGGTCCTGAAGAAGCTTGTTTAAATAAGGCCAGCGTGGGGGCCAAGTGAATCTCCAGAGGGCAGGTGCCATGACCCTTCCATAAAATGCTTTCATGGAGAGATGGAAGACTCACACAACTAGACTCAGGGATTAGCACTAGGTTGGACAACCAAGAGTGATCCTTGCAACCTAGTCCCCCTTTAGAACCTTCCGAATGAGAACCCAAATCCAAAAAAGCCCAGGGCCTTTTGGCCTTGCTTGGAAAAGGCAGGAAGCCAGCCGGAGGAACCTGGAAATGTGCGATGGAGGGTCTCAGCCCACTAGTTGCATGCAAAGGAGCACTGGAAATGTCGTGGCCATGATCCAAGCCAATAGTTGCCACAGCGCAGTGATTAAGTCAAGAATAGAAAAAAGTTGGTATGGGCTGGGGGGAAGACCCTTTTTAACGATGCAAAGAAAATGCTGTAGCAAAAACAGTATTGTGTTTCCAGAAGTCATGCTTTGGACCAGGAACACATTAGGACAGACTACCCCTCACCCAGCCTGGTTGGGACAGGCTCTTTCCAGGGTATTTACAATGTTGTATCCTTTAAAGTTTGGTTTTTAAACTTTTTAAATAAATTGCCTTGAGAAATCCTCTGATTTGGAAGGCGCCATGACAATGCTGCCTTCCAAATCAAAGAATTTCTCAAGGCAATTTATTTAAAAAGTTT